CGTGCAGCTGGTGGCCATGACAGTTGACAATCAGCGAGATAGCCTCGGTGATACTATTGAAATATGAAAACGATGGGACGAATGACTGACGGACAGACACGCGGAAGTGTTGCTCGAACCTTGTAAGGAATACATGCAGTAAAATAATTCGCTATGCTAGTAAGAAAACGGACATTAATTGATCTTTATTTTATTTGTCCTGTTTGGGAAATTTTTCTATCATCTGTACCTACAGACTCGGAATTTATACATAGGTGTACACATAATAATATAAGCATAATCAAACTGAGAGTAAATGAACTTCATTTATTATAACAATTATATTGCACAATGGAAAATACTGTACATTATATCAGGAGTACCACCTATCTGGCGAAATGTAATAATTAATTATTTTTCTGTCACACTTAATTAAACTTACAATGATATTCGGTTGGTATATCCCGTGTATTATGGTCAAACAGAACAATGCAATGTAGCGTTATTATACATATTTAAAATCCAGAAAACTTGTATGAATTCCATTAATACCGTCATGTTATGGAAAAAACATGGCCGTAATGAAGTAGATAGCCAAATCTTGTTTGCTCGATCAAGAAACAAAAATCCAAAATGCTACTACTCAAGAGACAGTGTGCAGGCATCGAAGTCTCGAACTGAGCATCCACGATAGACAGTCGATAGACGTTTAGGTAAAAGTCCGCGACACACCGCCGTGAATATTGATAGCTACTGCCACTATCATTAGTTAAATATCCTGTGCCGTGGAGGTATTGTTCCGAAGACTATTGTGACACAAATGGATGTAGGCTATTGGTTTAGGAAGCAGTAGAAGTTGGGTACACCTGGTGGCCATTGCATCTGCTGTGCCTGTTTCGGTCGCAGGTAACTTTAATATCGAAACCGTTCTCAATCCATTTAACACCTGTCTCAGGCGGTCTGCGCGGGCCGGGGGCTCTTTATCTCGTGTCATGTATTTACGTAAATGAGATGTCGTTTATGTTATCTCCTCAATTTATTTGTTAAACATTACTTAATTATTGAATAAGTAATTCCAACTTAAAACTTGTACCTATTAATAACAATAATGTTAACAAAAACTGTACTTACATAGGTAATATTAAAATGAGTGTCTACAATATTCGTCAAAACATTTCATTCATTTGCATTGAATTGTTTCTGCAGTTGTAATAAGACACCTAACGGTAAACTGTGCTACTAGATATTTGTGTATTGTCTGTAGGTAATAATATACGCATGCTAAACATTAATATATGTTCATGATTCTTCCGTCCTTCACTCACATACTACACGCGCGGAGTTCATCGCACGCCGCGACTTCCAGACACCAAATAACAAGTACTATGTACCTAATATCCTTCACACCTTTTTACACAATCATTAGTATTGGCGACATGTAAAGAGAAACCGCTTACCTACATATTTACCTACGTTTCAGTAAAGCAGTTCTAGACAGAAAGGCATTCTGTATAATAAATAAGGTATAATGAGGTATCATTACGCCTTAGAGACAGTATGTCCCCATATACTAGAGTCACACTGTCTCGGACTATACATATATCTATCTATCAAGCAACAAATTCGATATTCCTTTTTAGTATGCATCTATTTATTATGCCTGTCAGAATTTGTAATTGTGTCCAGTTCGTTCATTGTCCCGTTACTTACTACTAACAAACTCCAATTAAACATCGATACAGAATCTATTAAAATTCCTGCTGATTTCATTCTTTACCTTAATTAATAATGTGTCTAAGCACCTGGAAAACGGCTTCGTGACATGTTTCATATAAACTTATTAATTACAATATTTTTTCATGAGCCGTCTGTAGGTACCTATAATCTACTGGGCATCATGCAACGTTGGCTCTGTCACGTAAACCGGACAAAACCCACGGAAGGAATATTGTCTATAGGTGTATACAATACATATACAGTAATACATGTGTTGTTATAACTAACGCGCGTTACTACGAGTCACACCCACTGTCTTAATTAATTAAAATTGATCTGACATCCGCCCCTTAATTACCCCCTACTAGCGCGCTAAGCCTACAGCGATTGTAATGTTGGCGGGTATCAGCAGGACGGTAGGGTCATGCCGAACTAGGTTCACTATTAAGTGAAATAAAATAGTGCTCGGAAACGAAAATAATACTCTTTCCTTTTACAATCATCTCGTTAGTGGTCTCAACGATAACCCAAATATTGATAACATTGCGAAAATATTTAAAATATGGGTACGAGTTACGAGTTAATTATATTGTTAATTGTATAGTTAACTGTACAGGTGTTAATTGTATAGTTAATTATATTAGTTAATTATACTGCCTATTGCTTAGTAGATATTCGTTCCTGCATTCGACTTATCGGTTTGGTCTAAAAAAACCGAATCATTGGTACTTTTCAGCAGAAAAATAAAATGTATCCTTGTAAAATTAATTGTTTCAGCGAAATAATATTTCAGGGGACATTGATAGTCAATTGATAACGTTGTCTTGTAAATTACAATTAATTGCGTTTATTTCAGTTAACGGCCTCTTTGCGGTAATCTTACTGTGACATCAACAAGTACAGTTAATACGTCAAGTTGAGTGACACACGTCAATGTGATGTCAGGTACTCGGCAATTATTTCAGTGGTCCTAGTCGAACTCACGAGGATAAGTTCGTGAGAGATAACTAATTAAACCACATAGTCGTCATGATCAGGGAATTAACAAACATTTGAGGAACTCATTATCTCGACTGACTTCATGAACTTGCGTCATAACATTTCAATAACATGAACATGATTGTTTTAAATTAAGTGTTATCCGTTAGACTGATAAGCTTAAAGTTTAAAATAAATTATAAAATATCGCAATGAAATTGAACATTGTTTTGAAGTAACAGTATAACTTCACGCCTTTTGATCACCGAACAGGTAGACAGAGGAATATTGGTGGAATAAAGTCTATGGAGTTTGTAAAACTTGGAGTAAGTTCCCATATTATGTATGTAGAGGTAGTTGCTATGTATAGATAAACTGGGCAACGTTTGTATGGGTGTATGTTACGACGCTGTCGAGGCGAGTGGCGCGAGGTTCCCTTGCAACAGTTCCGTGGGTGATAGGTAATTGGACAATTTAATGAACGAAAAAACTGAATTACTCACATATTTAACATATATGAGTATATTTGTATTGAGAATAATATTGCATAATTCTACAATAAGTAGGTGTAAACAATCCTAATGATAGACATATGCGGCGCACGCGCTCACTTAGTTGCATAATATAAAGTTTTCCCGTACATTAATAGTGATAATAATAAATTATAAAATCAGTATTAATAATTAATACTAGAAACGGGAAAAATTGTGGTTGTAATGTTTATATTATTATCTTTTATTGTGCATATAATGTAATGATATACTTATGTATATACAACACGGTTCCAGACTTAGTGCTGGTTCTGAGTACGATTTTCTTTTATTGTGTTTATTGTGCCAATTCTTACCCCACCTAATCAATTATGTAGGTCTCATGTTGATGAGTTCTATCTCCAGACTTATGTACTTTAGTACTTTAAATTACCTGTATTGATACCTGATTATTTACAAAGATTATTTCATTTAATTTATTATTTGAAATTGATCTTATTTTAAGAATTGTTTAACCAAGTATTTAATGTTATTTGACTTATGTTATATTGTTATGTCGTGATTTGGATGTTTTCTTTTATATTTTCTTGACATTTCTGTAATTTCATTCAATTGGTCTATGTTTGTATGCGCACGATGTCGTTCCCTTTAATTGAAGGATCACAAGGTTATTGTAACGTCTGGTAGATAATTTTTTAGCAAGTAAATAAATAAATCCAAATAAATAAAAAACTACAAATGTGCCAAAAACGATGAAAAGAATAAACCACAACCAATGAACATACCTCGACACATCACTCGGCAACTATACTCCGTCTGTTTAGGTAGTTAACTATTTGTAAACAAACCACAAAAAGAGTTCTTTATAGTTGACATTTCCATGATTCAAAATACTTCATAAGAAAATAAAATTGTTTCCCTTTTTACGACAGTTTTCTCTATTAAATGTTATGTTTCTGTCCCTTTTCACTTATTTCTTAGTAAATATTATATATATCTGCTTGAGGATATCAATTTAATAACATTTATTAAATAGTATAACATTTCATTACAATAGACACCATAAAGAGCCTAAAATCCCAGGTATCCAAAACTTTTCTTTAAGAACGAAGCCAAATAATGTTGTCAAATTAAAGAGTACAACTAAGATGTAGCGCGACAATGAAAGTAGCGTGTATTACGTTTAGTCGGTTAATCAGGCGTCATTGACAGCTCTCTCGTCGTTTGCGCTCGCGTTCCTATTTTGTTGAATTTATCTTGTTTCTTTGTTTTGTTTTTGTTATTAAGTTATTCAAGTTTAGGTTATTCATCGTTTGTAATTAATGTGTTCAAATATATTGAAGAAATTTGGCCCAAAGACACATATCCCTACAAGAAAGAAATCCGTACATCAGATTCAGAACAGTTTCTATTTAAACATGATAATGAAATAGACCCATAGGCAAGGCTCTTGTACGATTTAGGCATTTGCAGTTGTATATGTGTGTATGACAAATGAACGAGTTTAAAGTGAATTTAGTTAAAATTAAAACACGAGAAATATTTGAAGTAATAGTAGGTTAAGTATCTCTGTGTCACGTGGTTTTCTTTGTTTACCTTTAGTTAATTACCTAAACAGATGGACTATAGTTTAATTTATCGTCATAAATTAATCAGAGTACTTCCTTTTACCATGGAATTCCTAATTAGTTCACTGAAATGGGTTTTCCTTGTGAGGCAATATAAAGCCGCGCGCCCAACACTGACCGACTGTATTTGTTGATTACAGCCGACGCGGACGGAGGCCATCGCGCAGCGCGGCCATGTCGTCCTGACTGAGTGACGCACGACCTCGCCATGGCTCCCGACATTGAACACTGCGAAACGCAGCGCCTGAATGAGGAGCAAGCTGTACCTGTGCACCATGGCAGGAGGATCCTACCGAACGGCCAGCTGCCGGCCAGTGCCTGGGTCGAGACTGAGGACGAGCGGCCCGGAGACAACACCAGCAGCCCCGGCGAGAACAAGCGCCTGCTCCCCTCCGGCCCGCCGGCCAAGCACAAGTCCAGGCTGCAGGCCGGCCTCACGCTGGGAGTGCATCCTCCCGTCAAGTACAAGTACCCTCCAACCACCAAATCCCAGAAAACTTTTCTGAAGACCAAGTCTGATAAGAAGTCTGAAAGGAAGGCAAATCTCATAGCTTTATTGAAGCCGCCGTACTTCATAGTCTCCATGATAATTGTAAATGTAAGTTCAACATTGATTGAGCATTACTCTCTGTCTTTACTACCAGAGATGATGAGCAGTAGATAATGTGTTAAAACTGTATGTGACCCTAGATGACCGTGCTATCATTCTGTTCCTAGGTATTGATTCACGAATCGATCAAGGATGCTGACGTGCGCGCCTTGCTGCAGTGGAACCCGGACTCGTGGTGGCGCGAGCCCTGGCGACTAGTCACCTACGGCTGCGTGCACGCCAGCCACCTGCACCTTGCACTCAACTCGCTCGTCGCGCTGGCTGTAAGTATCTACTGATATACTCTCAATTTCTTTTTTTTTACTCTATTCTACAAATGAATGTGTTTGAGGAGTGGTTCAATATTCTAACTGATTGTGTGTTGCAGGTGGGCTGGCCGCTAGAGCGCGAGCAGGGCTGGTGGCGCGTGGTGGTACTGTGGGTGGGCGGGCTGGTGGCCGGCGCGCTGGGCGCTGGTCTGCTGCAGGACAGGGTACGCGTCGTCGGCGCCTCCGCTGCTGTGTATGCGCTGCTTACTGCGCATATTTCTAATGTGTGCCTTAGGTAACTATTCTATTTATTTCATTGCACTTGATATATTTAGATAACATATTAATAACTAACATTTCCTGGTTCATCTTCAAAAATTGTATTATCAATAAGTCCATTCGATTTACTGTATTATTCCTGCAATGGTGTTTTACAACCGCGCTGTTTGGTTCCAGACACGGACACATATCGTTGTGGTGGTTCCGTCCACTGAGCGTGCTGGTGCTGGGTGCGTCGGAGGTGTGCTGGGCGCTGGTGCGCACGCCGGCGCCGGCGCGAGCGCCCCCACACGGCGAGCACATGCACAGTCCCTACGAGTACGTCGCCTGGGCCGCACATATCCTCGGTGCAGTCGTCGGGGTGCCGCTCGCTTTCGTTGTGTTCACTGGTAAGTTATTATTCTTAGATATGAATTACAGGCAAATTAACATTATTTGGCCAGCGTTTATTTACATTATTTTATTTATTAGTATTGCTTGTTTAATGTATCTTATAATTTGTATTGTCTGTATTTCAGGTGAGAACAGTAGGAAAGCATACGTGATAGCGTGTCGTGTGATATCTGCCATGGTACTGGTGGCGGGGGTGGTGGTGGCCACCGTCTGCTACGCGCAGGTCGCGGCCGCCGAGTACAATGAAGAGGACATGACCTGAGGCTGGCCCGCGACTCAGTGGCCATTCGATGACAAGTGCAATTCGTACTCATCCGTCCGCTATTCGTAGCTTAGAATAGCTTTTGATGGGAATTTTACAAGTTTGTACCGTTTATAAGTACCTACTTACAAGTGTAAGCTAAGGAGTCTGTACTCTGCAGTAGCGGTTGCGAACTTCTCGCGGCCGCTTTTGTGGGATGATCGATCTTTGTCTATTCTAGTCTTAAGTGTTATGTAGGTACAAACATGTTCATTTGAAATAGTTTTAAGGAAAATGTGAAGTTGTATATTCTAAATTGTAGCTCCGTGTCACTTCCCACAGTCGGGTGACACACGTACTTACATACAGACAGAAGTTCTGGTACTGTAGTTGAACAAACATATCTTATAGTTAGTGGTGGCGCGGGGTTACTGTTGTTATTGATTTCTGTGAAATCTCTCGTTCTGTTGTTTTGTATCAAAACGTTGTACTACACGGCTAGTGATATGTTGTAAGCTTTGTACTTAGCTGTTATTGTAATGTAAGTAACTGTAACTGTAACAAGTGCAATTGTAACGATCTACTTACTGTTGTCTACAGTTATGTGACTCTCCTTAGAGTAATCTTTAGCCCTTTATATATACGGTTACGGCTGTGATAATGTCATGAACATATGATACGAATAATGCGAAGATACGAATGCTCAGTCTCCAGCAGATAAACCTACACCAATCAGTTAAAATCCCACAATTAATTGTTGACTTTATAGTTAAGCAATAAAGGTCAAATTGAAATAATCAGTTGATCTGCTGATGTCTGTGCAATACTAAGGCCTATGAACACACAATGTAAGGCTGTAGAGCGGCGCACCAAGTCGCTGCGACCAAAGAGATTACTGATCTAGTCCAACCTGACTTATGTAGTATTTGTATACGAGTAAATAGAAATACATGCGACTTACACTGATCTTTATTATTTCATCATTAATCTATTACACCTTCATCACTCATTAAGAGGGTACTTAAGTCACTACATCTTACTATAAATGAGACACGAGACTCAAAATGATGCTTTATTACAAGTACATTACGATGAATTTTTGAACATCTCAACTATTCTATATCTTGTAAATAGATATCTGTCGTTGATTGGTCCGCTAAACATTAGCACACAATCGAATCGATTTATTTGTTGATTTGATCTGTAAGTGCATAATGTGGGACTGTGCATACAAGAGAGGAAGGTTCTGCTGCTTTATTGTATTTGTAGCAATGATCCAGTGGTATCTAAGTATTTGTGAGCTATTTAAGCTAAGCATCAAATGTCTGCCGCCTTCTTGAAATAAGTGTAACCAACAGCAGTAAGCGATGCGTCGAGTGTTACATCATATGTTTATAGCAACGAACTAACAATTGTTATGATCTCATCCTCGGTTCACCAATGAGAAAGCCGAGACTATTCCTTACTGTAACTGTAATATAAGAAATAAATAAAAAAATTCAATGCACAGGTCATTGTTCTAACGTTGATGTTCAGTTGTATGGTTAATGTATTTCAGTGTCTTACACGTATTTGTATCGCTTTTGTGAATATTGTGATCTTATAAACGTTCTATTTGCATAAATTGAAGTTTCATTTAGTTTATATGTATCTGGAACTGTAATCCTCGAGGTGTGTCCGTCGCCGTATGAAGAGCGGCTGCTATATTATATGTTGTCACTGACCACACTACCTACTCTCATATTCGGTGCTAATACACAATAAACAACATAATATTAAAAAATCAAACACAAATGATGTTTAATTCGATTTAATAACTAAATTAATACTAGATATTAAATTGATAAATAAGTCTAACATATGAAACTAAAATGCACTGAGGCACCATCTAACGTCATTAAGGCACTGCGGTTTATGAAAAGTTCGATCGAAAATAACGGCAAGGGTAAGTAGCGTGGAGCACTCGGAGTGCCGTTACAGAACATGCAGTGCAAGTCAATGTGCTATTACTGTTATATTATTATTGTAGCGATCTTATTCTAGACAACACTCCATTTTGTCACTCCTCCATGCACACATTACTCAAGTCTATGATAGTCTATGTCGTATGAGATCATCGCCGGTCATTTTGTATATAAATAAATATTACAACTAGCGCCCGGATAAGAATATGAGCAGTCACTACCCGGCACTCGAACACATGATTATAACATCAGCGAGCAGGCCGCGCTCAGGCTCCGTGCTCGGAACACTCGGCTGTCGGTAGTGAGAGCATATTCCTCCAGCTATGTAACCAACCGTTCAATTAAACGCTGTACACTCCAGTTCGACTCTCAGCACGCCAGCGGCTTGCACTGGACCCCCAACTCTGTACACCAGCACTCCTGGCACGGAGTCGATAACTCCGTGATAATCCTCCCGACCCGGTACATCCTCCCGTAGATGTTACAGCCTGCTAATTTCAGAAGTCCCGGGCCAAGCAAACCTCCTGCGTTAGGGACAGGTCCTCCTGGAGAAATTGACACAAATGGAGCGGGCACCTCCAGCATCACAGGTTTTCTTTCTGTCGTATCATACGTCTGTGGCGGCGGTCGCTTGGTGGTCTTGATCGTGACTGGACGAATGGGTGGTCGTGTAATGGCAGTTGCCTCACCGAGCACTAGGTGGTCTATTCTGTTGACTGTGTGCGGGTTTGGAGGTATTTTTGGGAGAGCGAAAACGTGTGACGGAAGGGGCTTGAAGAACGAAGTATCTACTACAGGTAGTTCGGGCAGGGGTTTGTTCGGTGGGTCTGTGGCAGTATCTACAGGAGGCGCTGTAATCGGTCTTGCGGTTGTTTTGCTGCTGGTCTTCCTGTTCGAGGCAGTGGTAGTTTCATAACTATCACTGAGTAGAAGCTTCAGTACGCTGCCAAATGAGAATTCTTCCTCTTCATCTTCATCTTCATCATCGTGAGAAAACTCACCATCCTGTTTAGCAGGAACTGGTGCGGCAGTGGTCGTTGGATTAGTAGGTTTAGTAGTTGTAGGCGTAGGCGTAGTAGTAGTAGTAGTAGTCGTCGTCGTAGTAGTAGAAGTAGTAGTAGTAGATGTTGAAGCAGGAGTAGAACTGGTCGATGGTATGATTGTAGTCGGAACACTTTCACTAACTACTTTTGGTTCGTTCGCTGTAGCGTTGTTCTTATTGTTTGATTCAGCTACTTTTGTGTTGTTATTTCCAGACGACTCGGGTGAGTTATGTGGCTGGATTACATCTTTGGCTTCGTTTTGTTTATTTTCAGTTTTAGTTGACACCATTGTAGTAGAAGTATTCTTGCCTGTAATTAAACATTAAAATTACAGTATGCGTCTCAGGTATGGAATCCAAGATATCAGAAATATATTGACCGCGTGGAAAACATTCAAAAACGTTTTATAAAATATCTCTGCTTTCACCAAAATATACCATACCAGTCTGCCCGTTATCTTGAACTCTGTAGAAAATTCCATCTATTAATTTATTCATTCATTAATTGATCGCGGTTGCGAACGGGTGTGTATTCGTGCGCGTGGAGGGCATTGACATATATTGAAAATGACCTCTAAAGTGTTAAAATGCAATTACTGTAACATAGTTGTCAATGAAGTGCTTTCATTCATTCAAAATAAAATTGATGTAATGGACGAAGAAAGTCTAGTGTCTGTGTGTGCATCTGCTTTTTCGGAAGAAGATAGTAAAGAAGCAAAAACACTGCTTTTTGAATCGGTTGCGCAGCGTGGTGTGCAGAGAAAGGGTGAGCGCAAAACAAACAAGAACTTATATGATATTATAACCCTTTTGAAGGAAACCGATCCGGAGAAAATACCTGTCTTTGTGGCCCGAGATCTTCAGAAATTACCGCCAGTGACTTTCGACCACATTGATGTGACGAGACTACTAAAGGACATTGTTATTATCCAGAAAGAACTGCGCGATGTACAGGAGAAGTGTTTTAATAATGTTCAATATGCGACGGTAGATGAATTAAAACTACTCAAGCTTGAAATCGAGAATATGAAGTCGGAAAATAAAAAGACGAACAATATTGAACCTAATATCAATACGCGGAGGGTGGTTATTGTCTGCAAGATAGTTTTACTTGCAACAGTGGACCGATGGGTTTTATGCATTGCACTCAGAGGTCAGTGAATGAGGTTGAATCACCAATAGCTCAGTCACAGGTAAATGATTTGTCCAGAGAGTCGTCGGCTGTGCTGTCCCCATCGTATGCGAGCAGAGCGAGATGTGCATCTACTTCGCGGCGACGTGCGTTGTCGGACTCACTGGCTATGCGAGTTGAGGCCACCGGCGTAACAACTGCGGTTTCGAACAATGCGGAATCAGCTGTGTCGCCGTCCGGTGAGGCGCCCGCGCGCCCCGCGCCGTCGATGTTTAAGCGGCAGGCGCGCGTGCAGGGGTACAAGCAGCATTCTACAGGTAGCGCCGCGCTCGATGTGGGTGTGCAGGATCGTATTATAAAGGAAATAAGAATAGACGCGCAAAGAATGGCAAAGGAAGGTAATGAAGGGGAATGGACTGAGGTGAAAAAGCGACGTTCGAGGAGATTTAAGGGGAAACAAGGACGTGCTCCAGTAAATTCGTCGTCGAAATTTAGAGCCGCGGAAGTAAAGATTCCCTTGTTTTTATATAATGTTTCAAAGTACACTACGGAAAAGGACATTGAAGAATATATCATGGAGTAAACATGAAATACTCGAAGGAATATAATTCCTACAAGATCTATATTCCTAGAAGCAGCCTAGACTTATTTGAAAAAGACGATTTCTGGCCAGATGGAATATTTTTCAGGAGATACATAATATTTAAGGCTCGACAAGAGTATTTAGTCACTGGAAAGGAGGTAGGAAAACGTCAAGATGGTTGTGCAAAATAGACCAGTTAAACTATTAAGTTTTAATTGTAGATCGATAAAGAGATCAGTAGACTGTGTAAAAAAATTGTGTGACACAGCGGATATAGTTGCACTGCAGGAGACGTGGCTGCTGCCTCACGATTTGTTCTATCTTAACGACATCCATTGTGATTTTGCGGCGACGGGTGTCTCAGCGGTAGACACTGCGGAAGGAGTACTGCGGGGGAGACCCTATGGTGGAGTGGCCCTTCTATGGAGAAAGAGTGCGTTTAGTGCCGTTGAGATTATTAAATGTAACAGTGTGCGTATTTCGGCGATCAAATGTGTGGGTCAGTGTCGGTCTATGCTAGTGTTCTCAATATATATGCCAACAGACGGTCAGGACAATTTGTGTGAATTTACTGCATGTCTATCAGAAATGAATGCGGTAATTGACGATTATAATGTAGATTTAGTTTTTATTATGGGGGACTTCAACGCACATCCAGGGGAATTGTTTTTTAATGAAATGTTAAATTTCTGTGAGGAACAAAGTTGGACATGCGCTGATGTAGATTTGTTACCAGGTTGTCAGAATACCTATACATACTTAAGTGAGGCTCACGGAACTGTAAGATGGTTGGATCACATACTGGTTACAGCAATGGCATTTCAAACAATTGATAGCATTAAGGTATTGTATGAGGTGTCATGGTCGGACCATTTTCCAATTGAAATTACATGTAATTTTAACAGTTTACCAAGAAAAAGTACTGTAAATAGAGGGGTAGATAATAAAATACTATGGGGGTTACGGAACGATGAACAAATCTGTAAATATAGGGAATTATGTAACGGGGCATTGCGAAATATAGACTTTCCAGTGGAATTACGGGATTGCTGTGATCATATATGTGACAAAGTAGAACATAGACACATAATCAATGTAATGTATGATAGTATTAAGTCTATCTTGAGTGATGCCTCGGAAAGGACTAGAACGGACAGTAAGAGAAAAAAGAAGATGTGTATTGTAGGGTGGAACAAGCATGTCGGTGAATCTCATAGGAGGGCTCGGCTTGGTTTCTGTAACTGGGTTCTGCAGGGGAAGCCGCGCGACGGGCCACACTATTTAAATATGTGTGAAACGCGAAGACAGTTTAAAAAAAAATTGAAATGGTGTCAGGATAATTCTGAGCAAATAAAAATGGACATACTGGCAGCAAAACATAAAGCTAAAGACTTTAGCAGTTTTTGGAAAAATACAGGGCACATGAATTCTAAGCCGAGCTTGCCTGTGAGCGTCGACAATGTCGTAGGGAATCGGAATATTGCAGATAGTTTTAAAGATCTGTTTGAGTTGGAACCAATGCCCTGTGAGTTTAGTAGAGTAAGTAAGCCTGACGTCAGACCTGGTGAGAAGTACCGTCGATTTAGACCAGTAGACGTGAGAAATGTAATAAAAAATATGAAGAGTGGAAAATCCCCAGGTCATGATGGTATTAGTATAGAGCATTTGCGTTATGCAGGTGTACATTTGCCCAGAGTCCTAAGTCTGTTGTTTAATTTTTGTATAGGCCATTCTTATATCCCGGATGATATGATGAGAACAGTGGTAGTTCCGATAATAAAGAACAAGACCGGGGATCCATCTGACAAGCGAAACTACCGCCCAATATCACTGGCCACAACCATGGCGAAGGTCCTTGACAGTCTCGTGAACGCGCAGCTGAACGAACACGTTCAGATACATGACTTGCAGTTTGGCTTCAGACCCAACTTGTCAACGGACATGGCAGTTATGTGTCTCAAACAAACGGTAAGGTATTATACCGACAGAAAAACACCAGTATATGCGTGTTTTCTTGATCTCTCGAGGGCATTTGACCTGGTGTCTTACGATATTCTTTGGCATAAACTACTGGAGGAGACTGCTGTGCCGAGGGAGGTAGTATCGCTCCTCAGGTATTGGTATAGCAATCAGAAGAATGCTGTCAGATGGGTTGACGCATTTAGTCGGGACTATAAACTGAAATGCGGGGTGAGGCAAGGGGGGTTAAGCTCACCGACTTTGTTTAACGTTTTTATGAACCAGCTTATTGGCGGGCTGAGCGGAACCAAGGTCGGGTGTTCAGTCGATGGCACAATGATAAATAATATCAGTTATGCGGACGACATGGTCCTGCTGTCCCCATCAGTCAATGCGCTCAGGAAACTTCTCTACATATGTGAATCATACGCCCAGTCGCATGGACTCAAATATAATGCCAGCAAAAGTGTTCTCATGGTATTTAAAGCAGGGAACAAGGCGCCTTCGAATGTGCCGCCAATTAAAATCGCAGGGTCGGCACTAGAGAGGGTGTCCAAGGTGAAATATTTGGGTCACATGCTGACGGAGACGCTACTGGATGATGAGGACTTAGAGAGAGAAAGGAGGGCGTTGGCAGTCCGCTGCAATATGTTGGCCCGCAGATTCGCACGGTGTACCACAGATGTAAAACTATTACTCTTCAGAGCCTTCTGTCAGTCATTTTACACGTGCAGTCTGTGGATCAGATTTACGAGGCGGGCTTATAATGCCCTGCGTGTGCAGTACAATGATGCACTGAGGGCAGTGTTGAGGAAACCCAGGTGCTGCAGTGCTTCCGCAATGTTTGCGGATGCTTCCATCGATGATTTCTTCTGCATCATTCGAAAAAGAACTGCATCAATGATGAGCAGGGTACGTTCAAGCGCCAATGCTGTCCTCAGAACGTTGGCTTACAAAATAGACAGTCCGTTTATTGTGTACTGGGCCAGTGTACACTTGCTTAGAAATAAGAAATAGACTCCTGTTCCGAACTATTAATTTACTGTTTTTGTTTATTTTTTTTAACTTCTTTTTAGTTTGTTTACTAACAAATTACTAACACTTTATGTTTTGTATTATTGTGTGAAGTACTAACAACCATACTAACAAACTCAATTTACTTATTTTACAAGTTTTTCTTTAATTTTTCTAAAAGTGTATGGACTTACGTCTGAAATAAAGATTATTATTATTATTATTATTACCATTGGTAGATAGACGCAATATTGCAGATTGTCTATTCTTGTTTAAGGTTCTTAACGGCAATGTGGATAGTCCAGAACTATTATCAAAAATCAAATTTAATGTACCTAATAAAATATTTAGATTTAATCCACCTTTACACGTATCCCGTTCCTCATCTAACTACAGGCAGAACAGTTACATTGTGCGTGCAAGCAGACACTTTAACAATGTTTGTAAGGAATATGACGTCGATCCGTTTACAACTAGTGTGAACTCGGCAAAGAGGTGCTTAAGCCTCAAATTTTTTAAGCAGCACTAGATATTTAGTTTTTTTTTATCGTTTCTCTTGATCTATTTATTATATTGTTATTTATATTGTCTGTACGGTCTGTTTCAGTATTATTCTTTTTTTTTTCATTTATGCAGAATGTATGTATTTTTTAATATTGTATAGTACTCACACCATATTAATTAATTTATTCTAGATCATAAACGTGAGGACTTGTTATTGGCTCATTGTTACCTACGCCTATTGTTATTTTTATCCATTTTTATAAGCTGTAAGTCTTCCATGAATTATAAATAAATAAATAAATAAATAAATAAATAAATAAATAAATAAATTAACTTCAATCCCAACATACAGAACCTATTAAATATTTAAAAGTTTCAGTAAAGCATTTCTTTTAGTCGGTCACATTTACATACAGTCACATGACTGCACGTAATTATGAAGATATGAAAATGGTGAAGAATAGCAGCTGTATATTATAATTACCGTATTACTTTACCTGCGTGGTCGTTACCGCAGATGACGTCTCCACAACAGGGATCTGTCGAGTGGTTAGAGACGGGCTGGTACCGGCAGCCGAGCGCCGGCGGGGCACAGTCCCGACGTTCGCAGACCAGTTCCACCCACGAGCACGTGCATAGATGACAGCCCATCACGATACTCTCGCCGCCGGGTACGCGACGCCCGTCAGTAAGAACACATTCACCTGTCAAATCGATAACATCAACATTGTTAAGTAAATCATTTCAATGAAATCGGACGTGGTAAGTAATATGCCATATAAAAACCGTTTACAGGGTAACATATTGGTGATATTTCATCATTAAGTACGAAAAGACAGAAAACCTACGAAATTAGGGATAAATAATATCCAGCTAAGGATATAGTCATTTTGAGACAATCAAATACTATTTACAAGTCTATCAAGTTGTAAGTCAACGAGTGTCTTAGTTACTATGGTCATATGATGAGGATGAGGATATAGTGTCTCACCTTGAATACGTTTCACATCTAGTTGCATGGACGTGGTGAGGTGAGGGACGGTCGAGGTCGGCTCAGTGCTAGTAAACACTGCGAAGAAGTCATCGATTACACCTGACCCCTTCGGGATGAAACCACCTGCAATGTAGTAATGAGGTAAATAAAGAAGTATTATAAATTTAATGCGGCATGTGTATTGATTGAATTGGTTAGCGTTGCTAATTATAAATATGCCTCGATAACCAATTCACGCAAGCGAGATAGTAAATTGACCACTGTCATACGAGATGATGGCTTTCAAAGGGTTACCTTGAGTTTCCACCGGTGGAGAAAACCGATTTACAGTTGGTGTCTCCACATCAAAAGTGGTACTGGTCGTGGGGACGTTAGTGACTGCTTTCACACCAGACATGGGACTTCCTAGTGAAGCCGACACAGTATACTCTTGGACTCCTAGATCATCGCGCTCAGGATATCTTTCCCTCGTCAGGTCTACCTCCTGAGTGATGGGAGTATACGGTGGCTCCACTTTGCCCATTACAAAGATTGGGTATTGTGTGGGTTTGTAGGTATCTTCTCGTCTGACAGAGAATGTGTCGTCTTTGGTGTCGGCGGCGGCGGCGGGATAGTATACCGGGAACTTGTCCGGTCTCTCCAGTATCGGATATCTGACAGTGTCCTTGATAGGGTCATCTTCAACGACTGCATCGGCAGCTACAAATGGAATGATCCTGTAGGTAGGCAAATATAGCTTGGTTAATGATAAAATACTTCGTTTGGGCAAAAATTGCAAGTAACCCTTTACATCTCATGTAATATTTTTGTAAAGTCACTCAGTACGTTTAGACATAGTAAGCATCGCTTCTATTCTTCAATAAAAATTTGATCTATTAGCAGTACTCACTTTAAGTTCGGCAATGATGGCGGCAGTGTCGGCTCTGTGTAATCGTAATCAAATTCGCCCTTTTTCTTGTTAGAAACATTGAGCGCATCCTGAGCAAGGCCTGCTATTGATATCTTGGCAGCCGCCATTGCAGGTCTGGACGTCGAGTGGCTGGTGTTGGTAACCAACGAGCTCGTCACGTTTATTGTGAACGTATCAGTGTCGTCGAAGCCACCGTTTACGTTCCTGTCAGTAATTATGTCGTTGGGTGAATATGTTTGTGCTTCCACATTGACAATCGGCACTCGAGCTATCGCTTCTTCATGGATTTTGTCAGTGTCATTGTGAATTAGGTTTAGAGGTAAGGAAGTAGAAGACAGTTCAGCTGTACAGTTTATAGTTCCGTTAACCGTAATTTTTACGATTGCTTCTGGTTGATCTGTAGATTTTTCTGGGTAAGTAACAGTTATAGACTGAGTATTTGGTACATATTTAGCAGCATTTGACAGTTTCTGTGTAGTAGTGGTATCAGAAGATGTATCGTTATTGGTTTGTTCAGCGTTTCGGACAGAGTCCGGAGATTGATCGTCTGTTCTTCTTTTAACCTTGGCCGTGGTGACGAGATGGTTCTTAGTGGCTGACGCGAAAGATATGTGTTTCAAAGTAAAAAGGGTCGCTATCTTCTTTGTGGTGGTTTCTAATTTGGTGGCTTTTGTCAAATGGAAAGTCCGCTCGTCTGACCTTAAAGATGCTGGAGAGTTTACCGGTCCCATTATGACGTGTGATAGAAGTTCTGAAAATCACAAAACAAACTCTTAGTATTGCTTCTACCGTAAACTGTGTGAGCCAGTATTAGCAACGTAACTACACTCTATTCATTACATTAGGTACCTACAGGCCGAAGTATTATACTTCAACACTAGTGGTGGGTGCTGCTACTCATAGTGTGCGCGTGCCGTACGAGTGTCCTAGCCAGCTCAGTGGTCTGCTTAGCATTACAAGAGTTACTATCGCCAGTGTGCCTGTGTTTAGTTCAAAGCTCCGACTTCCAACATTGTTATTAATCTGTTTGGTTGTGATACTTCTACCTAATTCTTCGTTCTGGCGCTCGTTTTTTCACGATCTCTTTGATTGGCTTGTCTAGTCTGTCACCTTGTCCCATAAATAGGTGATACGACGGGTCGTAGAACACTCTCGTGACTGAGTACAAACATCAACATCAGTAAAGACATGTACAGTGAGTACCACCGCAGCGTGTGTCCCTATGTAATGTAAGCGCCCTAAACATTTACCGTTTAATAATAAAAGCGTCCATAACAGAGTCGTGGCGGCTGCGAGCTTTACTGACCCGCTTCTTAAGCTGCTGGATGCGGGCTCAATATCTGGCAAGTACCAATATGCCTTTGTCATACATATAATATGTGTGCTCTTCATCGGCTGTGTTAATGTCAGATAGTAAATAAACACGACGAAACTAGTTGGCAACATTATCATTAGTATTTATAACAATAAGATCGATCTCAAACATTTTACTTGTTACTGCTAATAGAAGGTAATGCAAATGCTCACTGCTCTCTATCCCGCCGCAGTGTAGCCATAATGAAACTAGTGCTTCAATTATTTCACGTCACTTCAAGAAGATTTTATCATTTTATTTACCTTATTCTTATGGTTTAGAATGGGTCCACATAGCAAAGTATCTAAATTTGGCTTTAACTAATTAAAAGATCGCTCAGCAGGAACGTGTTCGAATCTACGTACGATATGCTTGGACAGAATACCTTCGTCCACGTGGTCGCAGACATACTGGTGCGCGCAGCAATCGCCTGGCGCCAGCAGCGGCCGACAGCCGGCCAGCTCGGGCGCGCAGCCCATCGCCTGGCACCGCACCTCCCCGCGCAGGCAGAAGCACGACGAGCAGTTGCCGCGCGTCGCCACAGGGGATCCTTCCGGCACCAGAGTGCCGTCCACCTGGCAGTCTGGGGACGACCGGATCGTTAAACACGTTTATACATAAACAGTTTGAAATGGCTCGTTGGCTGAGTGGTCGCAAGTGGGGTCGGGCAAAATACTACTGTGTTTTTAAAAAAATAGCTTTTTGTAGTAGCACGGAGTCTGGAATTGTGCCCGGTATATGGCAATAGGTTCACCCCTTACTACATGGAACTCATAACATAAATAGTGAAATGTGGGTGTTACATTATACAGTGGCATTAAGTGCCGTAATATGCACCACAGCCTACCCCTTCGGGGATAAAAGGCGTGAAGTTATGTTAAGTTTGAAATGTAATACCTAAATTTAAATTACTCACCAAACTGATTGGGACTTTGATCTGGTTTTTCAGTTGAGGAGTCGCAGTAGTAGCGCTGCGGGCAGCAGGCACCGGTGGCAGGGCGCGGCGCGCAGTGCTGCGGCGGCGGCAGGCAGGACGGGCGCACGCAGTGCCGCGCGCCGCGCAGACAGAAGCACTGCTCGCACGCCACGCGCGAGCTCAGCGCCGAGCCCGCCGCGAACACGCTGCCGCCCTCCACGCACGCTGGGAACACTCCAGTATCATGCGCACTTCTGTTGTATCCGCTTATTTACAAACGTTTCTTATAACAAATACTAGAATATGGCAATTACAGTCTTACATCGTTTTCAGAAAAGAAAAATTGTGTTTTAATATTTACCGTTAGCCGAGGAGGCGGGTGTTGCCGTCGGGACGTCTAGCTCGCTGTCATCCTCAGTTTTGTCTGACATTGCAGAGGGTTTTTGTTCCATCAGCTTAACACCATCTGGAAAATAAAATATGGTAAGTACATGTATTCTGATAAATAAGATTGTTGATAAATCTGACATGGACGGAGCCTGATTAAAACTCAACTTTAAAAAGTAGTAACTTTTAGTTAGACCATTGTATTAATAAAAACGTTACTACATAGTTGTCGAGATACATGTAACATTAATTACAATATAATGGTTAACTCATTGTACCGCAGAATAAAATTGACTGCAGGTTACCCGACTACTGCTTTGGCTGAACATGATGATGAGGCCTATAAGTTGAAATAAGTCAAGTAATTTTAAACTGTCACGTGAGTAAGCCGCATATAGCATTTCGCATTTTCTCCTGCGTCCTCACCTCACCAATCAAAATTAATTAATTGTATTGAAGGTTGTATTTAGTTGGTAGTTATTCACCCGGACACTGCAGCTCGGGGCAGCAGAAGCCGCGGCGGTGTCGCACGTGGCAGCGCAGCGGTATCGGGTCGGGCAGCGGCTCGCAGGCGCGGCGCCGGCACGACAGCGCGCCGTGCGAGCACACGCAGCGCAGGCAGTCTTCGCGCGTGTTCACCGACGCGCCGTCATTGTACCAGCGTCCCTCGTACAGGCAGCCCGACGGCAGCTCCGTCCGCTTGCCTGAAGCTGATTGACACCAACATGTTACTAACATTTCTAAAGTAAAAAATATCTATGTACTGTCTGGGAACACTATATAAGGGTTAGCTTATAAAAAATATGTGTCTAATTAGTCAGATCACTTAGATTAGACACATATTTTTTTATTTTCTTCTGAAAACGATTACTTTCTAATTCGACAATATATATTGATTTAAAATATCGCAAGACATTTTCGTGTGAGTTTAATACTCAATAATGGCGTAGCTAGACTTAAAAAAAAGGAGGAGGTTCTCAATTCGACTGTATTTTTTTATGTTTGTTACTCGATTACTCGAAGACGCCTGGACCTTGTCATTTGGTCCCATTATCACCAAGTCAGGATCTGATGATGGAATCCCAGAGGAACCGAGGTGACCTTTTAAACATTATGGGGCCTACTAGTGCATTTGTTAATTTTTTCATTAAGTATTTAAAACCACTACAATCTGATGAAGGTCTGGAGTTGATCTGATGATGGAGCCGAGAGCCAGTCGAGAGAACTCAACGGTTAACAGTAGCTACATTGTGTTTGGGTTTGATTAATTTCTATTGATGAGGACTTTATACATAGGTGGTATGTGATAGCCAATAAAAGTCTGATGATGAAGTAGTATTAAGTTGAGGGAACTCCTCAACGATTTGATTAATTTGTATTAATGAGGACTTTACACCTAGGTGTGGTGTGGTTGTCAATAAGGGTCTGATGATGAAGTAGTACGATAGTTGAGGGAACTCCTCAATGGTTACCAGTACCTACCTTGCGTTTGGGTTTGATAATTTGTATGATGAGGACTTTACACCTAGATGGGGTGTGATTGTCAGTAAGGTCCAGTGATGAAGAAGTATGATAGCTAATAGAACTCCTCAATGGTTAACTGTAGCTACCTGGTGTTTGAGCTTGAATAATTTGTATTAATGAAAACTTTGCACCTATATGAGTTGTACATAATATAATACCTATATTCTTGTACTAAACTAAAAAGTATAAAATAAAAACTGAATTTAAAAAAACCGACTTCAAAAACTAACGAAAAGTAAAAACTAAAAAGCAAAAAATAACCATTATTGGTCATACGTACCAAGTCGGTGCCACAAACCCATTACAAAATATAACTTGGGTAATGGTCACAGCTGGTATATTCCACAATAGAATTGTAGAGGTAAACAGTTTAATAATGTTAGGTATCTATTAGGCTTTTAATGAATAATTTTGTTTAAAACTTGTGGCACCGTCTTCTTTTATCAGTGGGTGTGTAAGCTATAAACGTATACATATACCCACTTTGTACCTGATCTATGGATGTGTAAATTTAGAGGGGGGATTGAAAAATAATAAAAAGTCCAACTAAATACAGTCAGTTTAAGGGAAGACCACTGTGCAGACTGGCAGATTGAGGTTTGTTCACTATCAGAGACACGTGGAGCATGTACTACAGAATGTACCAACAGGTAGATTTCGTTTAATTTGAATGCCAAATTGAAATAAAAACTTGTCATTTTTATGTATTTAAAATATAATATAGTCAGTACTAAGACTTCATAGCGTTGTAAAAGGTGTCTCAAATATTATTACATTTTAACTGAATGATATTAATTGAAAATAAAAATATTGATTATATTAACCGATTTCAAAAAAGAGGCTGTTGATGTTGTTTTTTTAAACGTAGTTTATTAAAGAATTATTAGTAAATAATAACCATCCAAATATTTTATACTAAGTATACTCCTGCCGTCAATTGCTTTTTATTTTTAGTTTAAAGCTTTAATTTCAATTTCACATTGTTGTTCCTCCACTGGCGGAAGGAAAGAGGTCCCTGCGATGCTCACGTAAATAAAATTGTTGCATCGTAGGCTCCTACTATTGCGTCACTGTAAGTTTAATTAAATACTTACGGTATGCCTTATCTTCGCGATCACTTGTAAATTTTCTTCCTCCTAGGCTTTCCTTGTCGTCATCTGTAGAAACAACAAACACCATGAGTCGCTCCGTGCCTGGTACTTACGTTGCATACAACGAGAGACTCGGTGCAGTGTGGGTACATTGCGCCGACCAGTCAAGTGTAACTTACTGTAATCTTTGTCGCGGCTGTCCCCTGGCAGCATATTCTGCGTTTCTTTATGGTTCACTGAAAGTAAATGAATAGTTCTTATTAAAAACTTGAATGTTGTATCATTACCATAAATTGTGAGTGTATTCTGGGTGAGGTCAATGATGGCAGTCTGAGTTAACTCCGTAGTGGAAATAATTTTACTGCGACTTCAACGATGAACATGATCATTATCATAAAACTCACACCTAGATGAATCTTCGAAGGGATTGAGGAAATTAGCTAGTGAATGAAACCCTAGAGCAGTCTGCCTAAGACCGAACCTTCGGCGTCGCGGTGACACAACGAACTCCGTCCAGATTACGAAAATAGTATTACCCCAAAACAAGTAATTATTGTCACTCACTGTTTTTAGTCGCACGTTGATCGCCGAGAGATTGCTTTGAGCTGTCTACCAGAGAATCTGAAAAGGAAATACTTTCATATATTTGGTTGACGCACTCGGGTAATACATTTTTTGTCACCACTTATTATACGTATAGTAGACCCACTTACTGTAGAAGTAGTGCCGTGACAGCGGGGTCTGGGCATCACCTGGGTCGCCATCTACAACAAATGATATAATACATGTTTATCATCTATAATGAGAACTGTGTACAGCTACAATCCTCAAGAAATGCTACGTACTGAGTATTGCTCGATGTTTCTCAGGAGACATGCGTAGCTTCACGCTGAAGCTATTTTTATGTTGAGTTTCTGTAAACAGAGAGCAATGTGTCAATCAACATTATTGCGGGTACATATTTATGTACTAAAATCTCACCATCGACGACTCCAGTGACAACGCGTGTTTTTGGACCAGTTTACGAACCACAATGTATAGCTTCTTATGAATAAAACAAACAGTTTGTTCCCGTTCCTATAGAGACGTCAGGAGATTCCGTGCTGCCTACTCCACAAAGTCTCTATAGATATAGAGCCACGAGCATACAATTCATGCAACATACAATGCATTGCCGAAACTCAATAACTTCGTCAATACTATCTGATTGGGGATGTGGTCGATTGATCAGATCCGACACTAGGAAGACATATGCTGGTTTTAACCTACGTTTTTCTAAATTGCCAATTTTAGTCTGAATGCAAACAGACATAGCAATTGTACAGATATATTTATTTTTAACTTAGTCAATTGTACAGATATATTTATTTTTCCATTAGGTGAACCCATAACAGAACAATTAGCTATTAACTCGTCGAGTACCGGTTTTATAGACACAATTAAAGAACAATAGGTCGCGGTCACCGGTGACCGCTTGGTATTTGACAGATTAATAGACGGTTAACTACCATCACGGTATAAAGGTGGCAGTGACCCTGCGCCAATCAAAACAAAGTCGTAACAATATAGTTTACAGCATAGTGTACTCGACAACACGCACGAGAAGGAGGGGAAGCGTTAATAGAACCTGTATTGATACTAGCAGTAATGACCATCACGAGACCAGAACCACCGCCAGGACTTCATGTATTTAAGAGACAGCGTGGTGCTGTCTACACAAAGATTATTTTAATTCAAAATAGGTTTACAACAGTAGAGAAAGTTGAGAGGTTACAGGGAATTGACTACAGGATGTTATGTATGTTTCACGACACGAATGTGATAGTCTTTACAAAACATTATTCATTAGTGTTGACAAGCGTGCTGTCATGAACGATTTGTTTATTTTTCAATTTCCCACATCCGCATCAGTGAATGTGGTATTATATGAAGACGAGTGTAACAACAAAAGCGATGGAACGAGTTCTAGTAAAATATTACCACCGACATGCAGACAGTGAGACCGAACACCGATAGTAAACAATTGACAACGCGCGATATCTACGCGCACTGCGTGGGATAACGTAAACAAATTTGAATAGTAGCGACTACTGCATTTACTCAAACTAATACACCAAGCAAAATAATAGAATACAGTCGATCAAACAAGAATTGATATCTCCAATATACGTAATACGTGTACTCAATATACAGATACCAGTTCTAGTCCACATTAAGAATATCTGCTAGCCGCTACAGACACATGGCAGGCCGCGAGGCCTGGCGGAGGCGCGCGCGGTGAAGCGCGGAGCGTTCATTCAGGTACGTGGGTGGTCCTTTGACCCCAGTCGCTGATCTTCGCGAAACAAGTCGCGGCGGACAACTAATACGGTCCGCAGCTTTTGCGGTCATGAGCGAGTAATAAAACTGACAGGAATCACTGCTATATATATGTACATATACGTACAGTATACAGATACAAGTGGAAAGTGCACAAGGGCTGTGGCTCGGCTTCAATATCAGATACTTTATTTTGTTTGATAACATTAACAATAAAGTTATGTCAACTGCGTCATGCGCACCAATACGTCCATGTGCGCACCACACTGCGGTGCGATGTTTGACAATTCGAAAAATCTTTATCAATGGCAGATACTTCACAGTGATAGATGTAAGTGGTATGTCGGAAGTGGAACGTGTGAGTCATGGCGACCCTGACTGGATGATGGCCACAGTCTTCAAATTTCTTCTCTGTGCCAGTTCCCAATTAATGTTAGCGAAATTTTGGAATATTTCTCACAATTCTAATATGATATACAAACAATGCGCATAATTTCCCACCGGCGGCGGCGCGAGGTGTCCAGCACTCCGGTATCCGAGTAATATGATATTCAAGTGAAGGTAGATACAGACAAACAGTTATATTTCGTGGATCTCACTTTCAGAGAGAGAGGCAGTAATTGAGTCGTTTGCTCTAAATGTCACACACGACAACACCAATGTAGAACTTTAGGTTAGAATGTGTTCGAGGGTGCTTTATATATTGACAAAGTAAATATTCGTGCAACACTCTAGAGATCGCAATGTTTACTTGTTTCCATGAATCAGATATAGCTGTGCAGGGTATGAGATGTGTCTGGAATAACTGTACTGCCAGACAATGGGGGTTCCCATGGCGCGTGGTGGCGATGGGAACTCACTGACAGACGTTTCCGCTCCGCAGACCAACACCCAGACCACTAGGGCTGCTGGCAACTGAACGAAATGTTACTTATTTTCTACCACCAAACTATTTAAACTGTCATCAGGGAAAAAATGTGCAATACCTTCTGTAATCTTAGCATACTCATCTGGATATACGACCACGCCACAATTAAAAAAAAATATTCGATTTCAAGAACATAAGTGCAATGTAATAGGCAGATTACAGGTTTTGTATAGTTTTTTCCTCATTCTCATAGAAATAACATACACGTAATCCATGAAGATTTTAGCACCGTCGCGAATGAAATCTACTTAATGACAAGTAAATACCAAATAAATGATCTCTATATTTTCCTGGTCATATTCACCTCTCGAGTGAGGAGTGGCAGCCCTGCAGCCGGCACACGAGACTGGACTGACCATTGTCTCGCAACCAGATCTGTATCTGTATACCGACGCTGGCCAACAATCGCGCCGCTAACTGTACCACCGCTTTTTATACACTGTATTGTTAATTACATTTAATTTCACCATTACAGTTTTTTAACATTATTATTTTTAACATCACATGAATATAGCGGATCGGAGTTTGGTGCCAGTGTAACATATATTATATTGCGCTGAACTAAGTATCTCTTCACTCATTGCATATTTTACCAAATGTTGTATATACGTACATACGTCTGCGTAGAGATATAGCTAGGCTCTCTTTATTTCTAGAATGAGAATCAAATCCCACAACGTCGTAAAATATGTAAGAATGTTTGACAGTAAAATAATTCAGAACTAAGAACAAACAAACGCACACACGCACAAATCGATGAAACAATAATTAGTGAATGAATAGCACAAATTACACAAGACTTAGACTACGATGATGTAAAATATTATGTGCTCAGCAATGTTCACTTCCACATTGGTTCTACATTCATATCAAGCTGAGTATTAACGCAAAGACATTTATATACGTGGACATGTGTGCGTATGGAGGCAGGATTGTGTGCAGGGTTGCCAGCCCCTGCATCAGGATGGGAAATGTTGTCATCAAATGTTTCCTCCTTGGTGAACTGGGAGGGAGAGTCCAACTCTTACGGAATAAAAAGTTCTTTCCCTGCCTGATGCCGGGACCACTGTATATGATGGGCTAGCCCTGCGTGTATTATTACTGCTAATACTTGAGCTCTACTATGCTTTGGGAACAGGGCACCAGTGACAGTATGTCGCAATGTGGTCAACCGCCATGTAGTTACGAAACTGACACTAAACTTGAACTTGCGCATGCGCCTTGCGAGGCTATTGCCAGTCGGCGAAGTAAACTATGCGTAAAACAAACGGCACTCGCCTCGCATCACATTACGTATTCCGGTTGCCCTGCGCCTGCGCATCGAGCACCGCGTTTGTATTGGCGCTCATTCATTGCATATGCAGTATAAAGTAGAAGATATAGAAGGGCCAAAGTTAGTAGAACACATAATAACGCAATGCTTTCATATACAGCTGCACGTCAGCGCTAAGTACTATGAGTAGTGCATATAAACTAAGCAAAATGTGTGCTGCAGCTGTCACTAAATCTACTGCGGTTGTTACACGGAGAGATTAAAGTAAATCTCGCAAATGCAATACATTAACAATACAAGTCAAACTTAATTAAGTTAGTAACAAGCACGCTCTGTGTAAGAGACAATTCTCAGTAAACACGATGTACTCCAAGGAATGTTAAATGGAGCAGACCTTGTGAATTTCCCGCCTCCTGGACAACTACATGTATAATGTATCCCTTCGCGTGGATGTTCTACTTCTTCTGCGTCGCGATCATTGCCATATCACTGATAAACTGTCGCCTAGTGCGGCAATAACTTATATATCATTCCTATTGTAAAGTAGTAAGGGTCAGTATTCCATGACACGTGGTATAGCTAGTGTTGGGTAATGTGGTGTCAGTGTAGCGGGCTCTCACGTAATTAACATAAATTAAGTCGCGGGCGAACTTCAATAATCGTCTCTAAGTAATTTATGAATGGCACACACATTCAAAGAACGTGTGATATTTAAATTGACAACCTCTTTACAGTGCGTTGCCTCCGCCGGTGTTACAATATTTGGAAAAATATTTAAAAAGTTGAACACATACATGATTGTGATGTTTACGAATTTAATGAAGGGATAGCCTAAATTACTCATATTATGCTAGTTTTACTTCATAATTTAGTTGAAAATTATGATATAGAATATTTTACTTAAACTTAAGAAAAACCAACATATACTCTGGGATTGCGTATGGATCACATTTTAATTTTACAAAATAATCAGTCGTTCGTTCATCTTGCAATCGTCTTACTAGATGTTCAGATTATACAGTTTAATACTGTTCACTGTTTTTATCTTACTGTGACGATGTGGCGATGTTTGAAAACAATTGGCTGAGCGGACACATAATACCCTTCGTTTGATGTGATCATTATAATACATCAAAATATTGGTAACAATAGAGGCTCGAGACAAGAAGTACTACACAGTTGGTATCACGCCGGGCGTCGAATGTGTGCGCAATCTCCGCGGGACAGAGCTATCCTCCACCAAACAGGTCCGCAATGTGACCCCATCAAGGACATCACAGCTTCTTAATTATGGTGACAAACTAGTCAGACCGCCAGTTGTACGTAACTCAATGAGTCGTTTGATTCTATTTTACAACTCGCTAATTTAGCAAACTACAGAAGAGATTTTAAAGTAGAGTAGGCTCTAAGTGAGTGTAAGGCTTTGTAATGTTAATGCGGAGTCCTCGGAGCCATTGTGCGTGCTCTAGTGACACAGTACGGCACGAAAGTAATGAGCCTCTATCTAGAACGCCATTATGAATAAGTAAACACAAAATAACTACATACAACAACAATTGGATAACTACGCCCTATACTTACATTCCAATATCAAGGAAAGGAACAATTAAATTCTTCATTCCATAACCATTTCACATCATTAGTGTGTTTAAAGAATCTAAATAGTTAATAGAATTAGGGGAGTCCATTAAATTTCGCTTACTAAGTTTTGTTAAAAGTTCAATGTCAACGCACATAGGTCGAGTTCAGAGCACACTCTCATTCGCGCGTTGAACTCTTTCATAGGGACGAGAATTTTTGCACATGATGAAAGTTAACTGGGTTAAGATCTTCTTTAAACTGTGCTAAATATCTTGTGCAACGAATGTAAAAATTATGTAAGTGCTCATATTAACAGGTAAATACATACGTGTGTAGTAAGTATAATGTTTAACTATACCAAATAGTTTTCAACCAAAGTGCTGAACAAACACTTGAAATTGACTTATCCAAAAACACACTCATCAAAACAAAGGCAGATGTAACTTGTAACAATTCCTCGATTAGCCAAATAAACTGAGACCATGTCGGAGCAAAATCTGTAGGAATTAACAAAAAACGTATTAAAACGTAAACTGGCCGGTATATGGTTCGCATATATCACTGGGGTCGATGACCGGTGGATTTGCATGGCGATGGCGGTACAAAGGACCTGCGCGTGCGCAGACAAGCAGCGCGGCGGCGGCGGCGAGCGCAAGTTGCGTGGGAGTCATGCTCGCGGGCGACGACGACGGCGCACAACACTGCACTGGCACCAGCGCGCGCGCATCTCACGCGCACACGCCACTCCTACCTCACATACACGTCTTACAAACGTTTAGAGAAGATTCTTGCTAACAACTTCCACCGGTACATAGTGTTTGTAACTAAACAGTACATACATGTGTAGGTATGTACATCGCCAACAACGTACCTCTCTAGACATTTCACATAAGATGTATTTCGATTATTATGTTTACCCTTGAATTTTGAAATATAATGAAATTTTACATAAATTTCTATTCTTTCTTCGCCGATTCGTTATTTTTTTATCCATATTTGATGGGCCGACGTTTGACCACTATCTCGCCTGGTGGAAAGCTATAATGCGGTCTACGATGGAGCACGTTGTCCCATAAGCAACCTATTCACTCGGGCCTTGAGTCTTCAAGGCCAGTCTTCAGGCCCAGGTACCCTTTAAAAAGTACAGACTCTATTAGAGAACCTAAATAGTGGTATTGAGTGTGGCTCAGCGACTTCAGAGCATTTTTCTGATAGCTTAAGTGCTTATATTACCACTTTAACGCACGGAGTTAAAATGATTACCAGTTTTTAGGCGAACCACATCGTTCGAAAGCTGGATGGCGATAGGGCAGCATAGTGCTACAGGGATCGAACCAGAACATAATATCATCAGCCACGGTATTGAGTATATGGTTGTCGACAGTAATATTTATCAGAAGTGGAGGACGTATTTAAGTTAACAAAATTATTATAATTTTAAAAATAGTTCTGCCTGTGCTCAATTTGAGATTTATTACTTATCTATCATAAAATCGGCTACTGATGATGACTACCACTGGGGTATAAAATAAATAGAAATTTTAAGAAGTACCTATTTAAACTTTTTCTCGCGTATTGTTTAGTCTATACGTTTAGTAAGTCTGTAGGGCGCGCAAATCTCCGGGCACAGCGGGGTGCGCGTGATTAACGGCTCGTCCTTTTGAAGCTGCGTGCGATATACAAGGGGCAATCTTGCCAATATTTGGTAATATTCTGCAGCTAGGAGATAACTAATGAGTCAACAACAACGTCTTAACGAGTTTTCAGCAACTTCGAGTGTTGCGACTCGGACTTCACCTACCATAAAGTCAACAAATATTGGCCTAAGTTTTATGAGCACAATGGATGCAGTGATACTTTCTTAGGTCGGTGACGAGTTTCGTCCGTCGCCCAGGGATGTCAACGACCCAGGCAGTCAGATGTCCTCGGCGACCGGTAGCTGGCAGCTGGTCGCAGCCCTGACGGACGTCCCGCAGTACTTGCTGCCTTTTTGCCACAATTGCCCATGTTGGCCACCTCGTATTTGTACAGACCACTTGCACATGTAACGTGCTCAATGTCTTCAGTATACAAAGTTGCACTTGTGAAGACTCTCATTACTTTTTGTTGAAGAAATACATGAAGCTGACTGAATTATTAAAATGTTGACATTTAACATAAACCGGACCAAGACTTCGATAGTTATTGTAAAAAATGATCCCGAACAGTCCTCGTGTACATGTAAGTACCATAATTGGTGGTTTAAGTAGTTTGGGAGATGTAGTATAACAATGACGTCGTAGAGGCAATATATGCAGGGCTGATGCCGATTAGGGCCGATGCCGATTCGAAGTTGCGGAGAACCTAATGGGTTACCGGAGCTCCGGCTCGACGTGCAGGAGAAGGAACGGGGTAGTTTTTAGTCAGTAAGAGTCTGAAACCCAGGCGGGAGCAGTCATTCTCCACCCTTAAAAAAAGAGGCAATATACATTTGTAGTAGTGTATACAATCGCCAGTACATGTGAAAGCTACAGTACATGGCTATACACTGTGCCGCCCGATACCTGGCGCCGGCTACCCGGCAACCGGAACGTAAAAATAAGCACTACTTCTTCACTGGCAATAATGAAGGTGCAGATATTGATCATTTCTTTCGCAGAATAACATACATCTGATTGGTTTACTAACTTGGAACAGGTGATTAAATAAATCATGAAATTCAAAACCGTATAGTACAGAGTAATATTACTTAAGTTTAGGCTAGTGAGGGAATTACTACAGAAGAGACCACCACGAGGCCAGACTCGCACCAAGTCACGTTACCCATAACAGTACCACCGTGTAGTGGAACTATTTCGACAGAAACGTTGTTTGTCCAAGTTCCTGACTCCAACGCAGAACATATCGTCAAGATGATGATGCAGCACTTTCTATTTTCCTGTTAGACACACTGCTAGTCTAAACATTGCCAAATATACGTATTATTGGAAGTCGGCTGTGACTATGACTGTATCTATGACTAACATGGCCCAAACTAGACGGATCTGATATCGGATACGATTAACTAATGATGTAGGATCACTATAGTATTTTCCGGAACCCCAGTGACCCCAACCTTACTGACGAGAAACCATCTCGTTCCTACGAATTCGTGGTCAGTAAGAGTCTGACACTCCGTCTCGCTTCATCCAAGACGGAAGGAAACAATGGACGGTTTTCTCCCTTAAAAAAATAAATAAAGATGGCTACAGTATTTTGATCGCATGTTATACGCAACCTGATCTCAATTCTCAAGTGAAACATAATATAACTTCTAAAGAACTGCGATATACAAATGATTAGTTTGATGACCTCGTTCAAATAAACAATTTTTTTTTTGTTTATGTATACTTAATGTCAGAGCAGTAATGATTCAGATAAATAGATTAATATTTAACACACAGACTTTGGTGCTTCATAATGATATGTTGTGGGAATTATGAAATAAGCGAAAGTGTACGTTGCATGTATTGTCATTAATAGATTTGTTCTTCTTGCCAATTAATGTGACAGCTTTAGGCTGTGACTTGATCCTTACACTTTAGAATAATATCGTAAATTTGTTTGTCATCAACACGGTTGCTAAACTGGTACTCAGTGAGAATCGAAAACTGATACTCAGTTTGGCAGCCATGCATAAAGCCAACCAACTAAAGTGGCTGCATTGAATTCACAAAACAATTGAGAAATTAGTAACATTAATACAATTACATTTCATACAAAAATAGAATAATGGCATGTTTTGTAATTGTTTCCGAAAATGTATTGAAATTATTAAAAGTTAGTGAGTGACGTCACTGCAAGTGCACGGGTACCATTGTACTGTGTGTGGTTGACGTAACGTTTCATTATATTCACAAGAATCCAGATTTGTGTTTACTTTAGTTGAATGTTTGTTGGGCGATGGCTTTTCACCGTTATAGTATTTGAAATAATGTGATTGTTTGTAAAACTGCGGTGTAACAGCAGACCAGTCTCGAGTGTCTTTCCTGTTATTTTAAATAATGTTATTATTTGTTCACGACGTAAACTGTGGCGGTGCGGCGGAACCAATATAATCATCTTCATCGGTCGGTTTCCGTCCATTGCTGTACACAGACCTTTTTAATAGCACGTCGCTAAGTTTCATTAACTAAGTACGCGTCTATGTATCGGCAATTAACAAAGTTCTACAACGACGCACATGTCCGTGCAGCTAGTGCTCACGAAGCCGATACAAAACCAAGCGCTGCCAGGCAATGAGACCCACAGAGTAGACGTTACGAGCGTAGCGTCTTATTGCTACGAGCGTAGCATCCTTCTGCTGCAAGCGTAGCATCTTGCTGTTACGTGCGTAGCATCTTGCTGCTGGAAGCGTAGACATCTAATCGAAGTCATTAAATGACTGGTACTAACTGTATATATAATATTGCCCACATAACGAGGGTGAAAGTAAAGATAACACATCGCTAAGCGCCTAGTTTCAATAAATTAGTACTAAATAGATAGTGCTGCAGTATAGTTCAAAAAGCCTAATGCGGGCGATATCCCAGCAGTCAGTCATCTTTTCTGATATATTAGTTGAAGCTACAGCGATAGCTCAATAGAGAATTATGAGGAAACTTGTAAATAATATTGATGTTCCCTTACCTTACCTTATTTTGATGCAACTGTTTATTAATTGTGGTTCAAGGGCAGATCGAATACTGGAATCTGGAATTGATTCCGAATATGAAAATAGACTTGCCGTCGTTGTTATTAATTACATAATAAGTAACGAAAAGTAGATGTGACGATACGCATTCTGTGAATCTATTCGTTAAATAGAGGGCATGGTCATAACATATGTATAATTGGAAAGGAATTATTAATTACTTTGACAATAATTCTCAATGGTGACATATTTTTAGAGACGTTAAGTATTTAACGTGTAGAGTGTATCTGCATTTAAAAGAAATCATATGTCATCTTAGTAATATTATATTACATATATGTTTATGGAACATAATTATATTACCGTGAAACATAAAGTGTGAGAGCGCGGTGTGTGGTGGACAGTGCCGGCTGGAATGTCCGTCGCCCTCACACCCGGTGCGTCAAATGGGAACAATTAAAAAGAATACATCTTTTTGTGTTAATTACGTGTAAGGCAGGACACACACGGCGCCGCCGCCCGACCGTTAGTTCCCGCGACTCGGCCGCGATATGTGACATTCTAACCACCAATTAAGATCAAGTAAACGGCAAAAAGCGCGTTGAAATATGTACCTCACTTAGTAATCTTATACTTAGTACCTATTAAATTAAGTGTCGCGTGTCTTTGTGGATGATTTCAAGAACCGTACAAGTATTCGCGCGCGGCTTTATGTGGATAAATTGGTTCTTGCTGAATTCTTAGATAATTCGATGGAATTTGTCGGTTCCATACAGTAAACAGTTTCTACTTTGTACTGGTTCACTTCACATTGCTTGGATAGTTTTTGTTTAGCAAGTACTTAGTTAGAACAGGATCCTAAGGAATAACAATTAGACAGATCCGACTCAGTTATTGACTTCATGTCCTCGGTACTACGAAAAGCTATTATTATTTAACAGAAGTATGTGTATCAAATTGCGCAAGCTATAGTTTACGAGCAGGGGTAACATCTGACTGAGGAAACTATACCTAAATATA